TTTATTGTCCACCTTCCCAAACCAGAAGATGGACTTTTTATGCTTACTAAATAGACTAGCCTTCTTTTGGTATGCTAAGGTTCAAGAAAAATGCTGATGCTTTTCTACTGAATTTAATTCACGAGTATCTCTTAAAGTATAGATACAAATCACAGAGAAATTTTAGTAAATAAATATGCGTGGAAGAGTCAACATTTCCATGACAGTAGATGGCTCTGAGATTACTTGGTGGAGGCAGCCATGTTCTCATCAAAACAGAAACAGGTTGGACTTATTCTCCCCTTGTTTTGATTAGGTAAGTCAGTGGGCTTAGAGCATGATTTTTTAGGTAGGTTTACACCTGTATTCAAACTTATTGTGGGAGCAAACAGAGTTTTGTTTTAGAGGTGCTTTTATTTACTTTATATAGACTATTATGGTCTGGAATTAGGAAACTTTTGTTCTGTTAGCTAATATTCCATTGGAGTGAATTTTCACTAGTGTGGCAACTACTCAGTATCTCTGCCCACATCCTGGAGGCATAATTATGTATTTTTTCCCTCCTGGCTCCCATCCCTTAAGAGACAAGTAGGTGCCTTTAGTTATACAGAAAACTTCCAAAGGTGGAAAACAATATTGAACAATTACACAGACCAACAAAGGGCTAGATGTTTCAGATTGGCAGATGTCTGCTTGAGGAGACCAATTAAGAAGTAAAACAAAATTGTTCTATTCTCATGCTGGGAACATGTGCTACTTCTCAGTAGTTGTCTCCATATTGTCAAACAGTAAAATAAGAGGGAGAATATAAGAGGAAAAGTAGTCGTGTATGAAGTTATACATATTTTTTTAGAAGAACTTAAAACTGCAGGACCTTGTGAAATGAAAGCATTTGAGGAAGCCACCAGGTCTACACCCCATAATGCTTAGCAGAAGAACAAACAAGGCGCAGGTAGTATTTTATGGATAGGTTGCTGTGTGTCTTGTGGAATGAACATGAATCCATGAGACAGGACATTCTAAATGTATCATGACACCTATCTTTAATCCATCTGGAGATTGCAGCTTTAAATATGTTCTGCTCTCTCATTAAAATGCTAAGTCCCAAACAAAGTGACTTACTGAACAATGCTCTCCTGGCTACGTAGTCCTTGAGAGCTCTAACCACTGTGATGGGGGTGCAGGCCCACTGCTTTGGGGTAAAAGGTTTGGAGCACAGTGAAGGACAATTTATTGCTTAAAATGAAAAGGAGAACAAACCTCGGCTGTGCGTTCTGGAGCAGTCAGTACTTTGGGAGGGCTCTGAGAAACGGCTTCTTATAGGAAAGGGCTCCCAACTCCCAGGAATATTAGTGCTCTTTCCCAGTAGCTGCCTTCAGATTGTCTCATGCCCATTCCATAAGAATTATACATAGATAAAACACACCCTCAACTACCCCTAAAAAGGTGTCTGGGACAGCTTCCTCTTTACCTGCAGACTAAGGAGAGGCACAGGAAAGAGGAAGAGAATAAACCGAAACGAAGAGCAACTCCCTCTGAAAACAAACTAATGCCATTAAAACATGCAGTAGGATAGACATATTCACGTCATTGGTTTGTTTTCAGCCAGAAGACAGAGAAGCAAGCTGGCGCCGCTTTGGTCTGCAAGGCAATGGAGGGAAAAGCAGTAAGAAGAGAACTCTTCCAGTTAACAGTTTTGGTATTTAATATTCAGCAGTAACACCCCGTTACAATAAATAAAGAGAGTTCACAGCTCTCTTGCGGATAATTCGTTTCAGTATGTGGCAGGCAGACTGAACAAGGCCAACATTTGATTAGTTGCACTGTGAATGCTATCGACATGAGGAGGATTAGATGTTTATTTCATAAATGAAAGCTTAGATTCTAGAGGATGGAGAAAAGTCTTGGACATTTATTGCTCTACAGTGGTGTGCCCCTGAGAGAGCTGTTGAAAGACAGAAAACAGGCTAGCTAAGTTTAAGAACCCTGAAGGGGACTGTAGTCATATACTGTGGACCTGGGATTCTAGAGAATATATCACAATGTGTAGAAAATCTTAAATTATGCATTTTCCACACCCAAGAAACTCTTTTATACCTGCCAATTAAGGCATTAGAGAGGCAGTGTGTTCTAGTGACAGAACAATGGATTATGAACCTACAACAGCCACACTCTAATCCTGGTTCTTCCGACACCAGCTCCCTCTGTGGCTTTGGACAAATGGCTTGTTCTCTCTAACTCATGAGATAAGAAAGCTGTTGGGTGAGATTTTCAAAAGGCACAGATTCCTAAGTACCATTTTGAAAATCTCCCCCATCATCACATATCTGTGCTGTGAGGCTCCATCAGTTAAAGGTACAATGCTTTGAAGAAAGTAAAAAATTATATGTGCCAGATGTTAGTATTAAACATAAAACAGAGTCAGTCACTGCACTGAAAAATATACATTTTTTCCAGGCAAAAATTATGTAAACATTGAATTAAGGATGAGAACACATATCACTAATTTAAGGTAATACATGTTACAAGGATGTTGTAATCATTCCGAAATCAAGTATTATAAATCCAGGAAATTCAGAGTTAAACTTAAAGAACTATGGTACTGAAATAAAGAGACAGGGTACCCAAACAACCTTAACTCTGCTATGTAATGACACCATTCAATAACCATATGATTAAACTATTTTACTTTGTGGTCTCAGATTAGGCTAAATTGTTTTTTTTTTACAGACACATTAGATTTTTCTTCTCCCCCATGGTATCACTACAGAGAAAACTTAAGGTAGTTTGCATGCCCTTTCAGTATTTCCATACCTGAACTGGTTTGGATTTCTTTTAAGCCTAACTCTGAATTTTCTGGATTTATAATACTTGATTTTGGAATGATTACAACATACCTGTAATACACTTTGCCCTAAATTACTGATAATGTACTCACTCTTAACTCTATCTTAACATTTTTTTTGTTTGGGAATTTCCTGTTTTGTTTTTTTTTAATTACAACTTTCATACATAAATTCTAAATAAGAAACTCAAAAAGGATGCTATCATGTGTCTAATGATCTGTAGTTGTGAAGTATGTCAATACTTTAAATACCTTTTTAAATTTTAACTTCTATAGGCCAATTCAAAAAGAAACCCTGGCTGCTTTATGCCACTGTAGTGCAGAACAAAACAGCCAAAGTATACTGGCCAGTTAAATTGGATTTACAAATGCATTGTTTCACTAGAGCAGTGCAAAGTAGCTGAACTGTACCCTTCCTGTCTTGCAAATTCCCTTTCTGCACCTTCCTGTGTTTCCCAACTCATACATCCCAAATTCTCCTCCCCCTCTTATCCCCTGCACTCTCCAGGTCTCTCTACATTCTCACATCTGCGCGTACACACACACGTACATTTTCCCCTATGTCATAAATCTCACCTTTCCCTGCATGTGCCCCAAAACATGCACATCTTCTCTGTTGAGCAGACCTGTTGCAACAGGTTGCTTTTGAAAATAAATATTTATAATTAATGGCCATTTTTTCATAACTGAAAATTCATCTTGCAGCAGAGGCTGGTGCATAAAATCTTCAGAGAAACTCATGAAAAACTGCCCTCTTTCAAAATGGCCTCCTTCTCCCATTGTTCTTAAAGAGCATGAAGCCAAGATGCTCTTAAGAAGATGGTGGTGCCCGAGGCTGCCAGCGGGCAAAGAGGAACAAAAGTCCCATTGAGAACAATGAAAAAGAAATGCCCTTTTCAAAATGGCCACCTGAGGGAGCCTCTGGCTTCAATCCCATCAAACACAATTGGAGATGGCAGCCATTCTGAAAAACAGGCAGTTCTTCCATGGAATTCCCTGTACCACAACATTCTTCAGCTCCTGCTTAAGCAGAAATTTTAATAATGAAGAACAGGAAAAAATACCTATTAACTCTAAATAAAACCCTTCAAATCTAGCCTATGCATCATATGTCAGTGAGTTTAAACTATATGGACAATTTAAAGAATCTGAATCATTTTGTTATTAACATCATTTGGGCCAAAAAATAAAAAAAGCCTGACACCAAATACTAAATTTCTTAGAGAACCTATTTTTTACTCCTAAAATATTTAATGGATTCACTTGTAAATTCTCAGAAAAATTGTTCTATACTCCAAGTAACTGCAGTGATTTTATGGAGGACACACAGTATTTTTCATACGTAAGCAAGAGATTGAATTCCTGCTTTGAGTGGAAAACGACTCATCCTTAATTATGGAGGTGCCAGCTGTGACTCCACAAGAAGCTTCCAAACTTAGTTATATAAACATTTTACTGATAAAAAGTTCTTACCCTTGCATCATTTAAAGAATGCCAAATTTTGACTTACTAGTCTTATGATTGTAATCTATGCATAATTAAAACGTTAGAGTCTTATTAATGTTAATTCTTACTATCTCCACTGAGCATTTTATTCCAAATCTTGTTTAATTTGTATGTACAAAACTAGACGGTTTCTTCTGATATCTATCTTAGGAGATATATGATACTTGTCTTTTTTCCTGCAAAGTTTCTAATACATTGCAGTCTATATCAGATTTCAATACTGAATGTACAAAAATATAAGTTACCTAGGGACAATCTTTTCAGTTCTTCCTCACAGGCAAATTCTGCCCTTGGACGTACGTAGAGCTCACCCACTGATATCAATGGAAGGCACATATATGCACTGGACCCTGAGTCTTAGGCAAAACGCCTACCTGACATCTGTGGGACGTTTGTTTTAACTGAAGAATTGGGCACTCGGTAATTACAATGAGGTCATTTTGCCTTGTAAAATCCCTTCTAGGATTGAAGAGTCCGGCTGATGCCACTGCTACTGCTTCAATGTTATGAGAGTTAGTGATAAGCTAAGTTTAGAATCAATCAGTCCTGCTCGGTATGGAGCTGGCTAAAAATGTACTAACTCCTCCCCCAAAAAACTGCAGTTCACCAAATCCATATTTTAACAACACAGAGCCTTTGTAATTATAAACTTCAAAACAAAACCAAGGAATTCCATATAATATTTATACTTTCAAAAGTACAATATTAATACAGGTCTGTCAGTTAGAAACAACAGCAGTTTGTTAGGCCTACAGGATTTCTTTAACATAAAACCAGTTTACAAATGCTGAAAAGCAGTAGTGGTCCAATATTCACCATTACACGTGAGTTTGTCTCTTCCAGAAAATAAAAAAAAAAATCCCAATTAAATTTACCAGCATCAAGAAATATTAATAAAATGCTCCCAAACATGCCACAATCACTATTCACAAATAAAGTTAAAATGAAATATACAAAAATTCACTTAATACTGTTAAATAACAATAAACTACAAGATTTCCTGAACCGAAATGGTAGGACCCCTGAATGTTTTACAGTGAATGTCAGGAAAAAATTAAGTTATCTATGACTATATTCATGATATACCAGCCAAAGATTTACATGACCATTTCAAAATATACCAATAAAGATTTACAGTCTCTTTAAGATGCACTAAACAAATAGGTTCATAAAGGTGAACACAAATGCTTAAAAATACTGTTACTATTACCAAGGGTGTACTTATGATACTCACTGAGATGCATAAGCATAGTAGTAACATGTTTACTATCTCTGGTAAACAGATAACATCTAAGATCTTAAAAACCCTCTAAGTTCCCATGTTTTCAAATGTCTCCAGTATATAGTGAGTTCTTATCAAGTATGTACTTGCATCTTTCCAGTTGATTTCAAGTGAATAATATCATAAAGAGGGAGCAACAAGAGGGGGGTGGAAATGGGACATTATTCCCATGCTCTTGTAATTAGTCATCCTGTTCTCTTGTAAAGACAAAGATAGTTTCAAAAGAAAAACAGGGCATAATGTACATGAATGATCTTTTTACTATTTATATTTCTAACTAGGTTAAAAACCAGGTAAAAAAGTCATTGCATCAGGAGGAGCCATATGCACAATAATGTGCAAATATCTTCAATCAGAGTAAATCCTGACAAAATGTATCATCCCATCTCCTTTACCTGTAACTGATATAAGATCTGAGAGCAAATAATAGATAACCATTCACTTGTTTGAATCAACTCTCTTAATAAGAAACGAATGTGCTTTATAATATTTCATCTACTGTATTGCCAATGTTAAATAAGGAATTAAGTGCTATGAACTTAGAGCGTTAAAGATGATTCACCTATAGTCAAGCAAAGCTATGTTTACATTCCAGGAAACACTGCAGTTTAAAAAATACAAAACTGCAGCAGTAAAACAGTTTATGAAGAGAAACAGATGCATTCACATATTCTAAAGCCATTGCAAATTTTTTAGGCATTCAACTGTTGTGTTAACTATACAGACAGTAGTTGTTTAGCAGCAATGATTCCGCAATAAATAATGCACTGTGTTTCTCAGTTCTGCACAAAAATTGCAGCTACAGTTACATCAACAGCTGTAACCTACTGGCTCTAATGGCAGAGGAGACCTTAAAACCAACTGTACAAAAAATTGTCACACTGTGACAACAAATATAAAAACATAATCTGCATGTTGGAAATAAAAGACTCCACTGCGAAGAGGACAGTGTAGACAAACTGAGATTCCAAGTCCACCGAAAGAAACTTCAGTTCTGAGTCCTTGATTGATGAGATACTCTTGGGCTTGAAACTGCATTACCACCTTAGAAAAGCATGCTCTGCCTTCTGTTCTTCCCATGTGCTAAAACATAACATGAATTCTGTTAAGAAACTGAAGCATTCTTACAACACACACTGTTACGGCACTCTCCTGAGATGTGTTTCTATAAGTGTCCTTTGCTGTAATATCTGATCCTATATTAAATCTCTTGCTAATGCAGTCCAGTGTATTCTCTGTCCTTTGACGCGATATATTTGGTGCTCCTTCCATTGTGTATCAGATAAGTTATTCAGCAGTCAAAAAGTGACTGTTTTTAAGTGCTGGTTTCATGCTACTTGTCCCCTCTACTTGTCCCCTCCCATCTCAAGTAAAACTCATTTGTTTTTGTATGTTTAACTGTATATGTATTTTATGAATCTGAATAAATAATTTCCATATATTCACAAAAATAATTTTTTACACATTATTTTCAGTTTATAGTACATCTAACACAGCACTCTAGATTGAAAACATGAGAAATACCATGATGAATGTTTCCATACCTGTCTCGGGGTACGAGGAATTTCGAAAGCCAGGGTCTTTCTGCAACTGAATCTCTTTCAGACTGAATATTGAGACACCTGTAACAATAAAAGAAAATGAAGGTTGCACTCAAATGTGATTAAATTTTATTGACGAAATTCTATTCTCAGTTACACCAGTATAAATCTGGAAAAAGCGCATCCTCATCTGGAGTAGATAAACTACCTTCCCTAAAATGCTGATAAATATCTTGAACCCACTAATGTGCCTTGGTATCTCATGAGTTTTCTTTATGAAGTGGGCACCCTGCAAGTAAAAACAAGACACACAAAAGTCTAACTCACAAATCTACTCATTATAAAAGATATTTCTCTTCTATGCAAACAATCAAAAATATCTTTAACAACTCATGTAAATAGAAAATCCATTATATTTTGAATTTATGCTGTTGATTTGTCTTTGAGAGTTTTGCCTAAAAAAGTTACCCATCTTGTGATGTAACATACTTTTATCTGTTTAAATACCTATGCACCATTTCAAAAGATCTTTGGTATTTTTAGAGTTTAATCACAGATAATACGTCGTGCTACTATTAATAAAATAAAGATATTATCAACCAAGGTCAATGGCACATTACTACTTTTTTATTTCTCTTACTTTCAGGCAAAGCATGTACCCTTGTTCCTAGACTTCTGAAGTATGCGTGTTTCATGGCCTCTTCTGCCGAAACTCTTTTCTTAGATTCATACTGTTAACACAAAAGATTGAATCAAAAATATAATTTTGCTTTCCCTACAGTTTTTCTAGTGACAATTAATGAAAAGATTGAAATTGGGCTATTTGTATATGCTCATATTGAGCTGAAATGAAATGAGGTCTCTCTTGCACTCTTAGATTTTAAAAAAAGATTTCACAACACTATGCATTACGCTGTGGCACTTTCTATTAAAGAGGATTTCACACAATCTCCTGATCCATAACAGTGTACTCAACTGGTTTTGCGTTTGCATTTTTGGACCCCAAAGATAATGATGAGTTTATTTCACTAATAAAACGTGTTGAGCATGCAAGAACAAACTTCAGGCACGAGCTTCAGGCAATGTTTGCTCAGGGTACACAGCTGAATAAAAGACAGATACTGGGGTGGCTTTTAAGCAGCAGGCTGCAACTTTCTGAATTTTATACTAAGTAGAGGCAGAATATGCTCAACTCATCTCACATACCACGCATTTAACTGGGTCCATATTTGGGTTACAGGGCTCCCACCATACAACCAATAATTTGGGGCAGATTCCTCAGCCTAATAATCCCTAGGACTCAGCTTACTTCTAAAATGACTTCCAATGTGGAAAGGAAACACATACAGCCCAATTTCCTGCCTGAACACAGAAAGGCAAAGCCTAACCGTAAAGAGCACTTATAGCCAGAACCATACTTATTAAATTCATACCTATAATAAAATTACTGTACCTAAATGCTCTCTTTTTACATTCTATTTTTTAAGACTTTAGTCTGATTCTTGGGTATCTTAACCTTCTTCTCTCCTTGGCTCATTTTGCTGTTCACTATGTGCTTCAAGCCTAGGTTTGCTGAATTCAGCTTTAATTATTAACAAATGTAGTGAGAATTCAGCTATGGATTACATTTTATTTTATAAAAAGCCAGGAAAACAAAAATGTGGCCATCTAAAATTAGAGAACAATCCCTGAATTCCTAGGGGGTAAGTGGACTTCAACCCACTCAGTTAGCCATCACTAAGGCTATGATTTAGTCACAGAGGTCACGGCAGTCACAGATTCCATGACTTTGCTGGACCTCCGTGACCTCTAGGGATTCAGGAGGAGGACGCGGGACTGTGTATTCCTTCCCTGCAACAGGTGCTGGCTGGAACAAGGACCCTGCAGCCCCAGCGATGTAGATTACTCCAGGGGCTGCAGCTGGAGCCGTGCGCCCCAGCCCCATGGAATCCCAGCTTGGCGGGAGCAGCGCGCCCCAGCCCTGCAGCTTCCCGGGTTTGGCGGGGGCTGCACGCCCCAGCCCTGCAGCTTCCCGGGTTTGGCGGGGGCTGCAGCCGGGGCTGTGCGCCCCAGCCCCGGAGGCTGCAGCTTCCCAGGACCGTGTGCTCCTGCTGCTGCAGCCAGGACTTGGCTGGGGCCGCAGTCGGGCTACGCACCCGTTCCCCGCAGCTGGGCAATTTCTGGAGCAAGGGCTGTGTCTCCCCCATGGCTGTGCCCCCCCCCGCAGCCACTGGAGTCGGGGCTGTACCGTCTGCCATGGTGGGGGGGGGCTCAGCCTGTCAGTCTCCCGTCTCCCCCCCCCCCCCCCCCCCCGCATAGGACTCCATTCCTCCCCCGTTCCTAGCCCTACCACCGGTTATTTTTAGTAAAGTAACTGACAGGTCACGGGCTCTGTGAATTTTTGTTTATTGCCTGTGACCTGTTTGTGACTTTTCCTAAAAGTAACCTTGAAAAAATCTTAGCCTTAGCCATCACACAGTGAACCTGTTATCAACTGTACTTAATGCCCTACTCAAACTTCAATTGCATATATGATGTAACTGATTTTGTGGATTTGAGCCTTTAAAAAGGAATCTAAAAATACATTTTACAAAAGATAAAACATGGAAAGCATCTTACCTGAAGGAACTTTGCTATCAATTCAATTCCTTCGGAGTCTAGCCTAGAAATAACAAAAAACACCAAATAGTTTAGTGAGCAATATTCACAAGTGCAAAGTTAGAATGGAGTGGATTTCATAAGATGATATCCCACTTCAAAACAAAATGTAATTTAATTAAAAATTAAAGCAATACTTACACCTGAACATCTTCTGTGTGTTTGTGTTTATACATATGTACATACATAAAGATATCCCGACATCTCAAAAGACTGACTGTAAACACGAGTTGTAGAATTTACTGATGATAAATCAGTGGGGAGATAGAGAAGGACCCTGACCCTTGGACTGTGACTCAATAGGATGACAAGGTCATCTGATGTGAGCAATTTTATGGTTTCCCAATAGCTTTTAAAACCGAAACTCACTGATTGGATAGGAGGGTAAGAGTGCTAAACTATGTTTCTTTACAATCAAAAGGAACATGCTTCATCATGTGTTTGGCTTTGCTGAAAAGTTCAGTTATGGCAATGATACTTGAAATGTACTAGATACAGACCCTTCAAATTCCTAACCAGGGCTTTAGAATCGCCACAGAAGGACTGCATCAAAGAATTCTTCTCAGATTTTACAATAATCCTACTACATGATGGGATGGGATTTTGGGAATTTAGTAGCTGCAGTGTGAATAGTCCTACTATGTAGACATAATAAATAACACTTATAGTTATATATGCCACTATTGAGTCTCAGTGTTTGGATTTACAGTGCTCCAAGTAATCAGGAACTCAGTAGTGCTAAATCTCAAATTAATGAACTCTGCTAGATACCATTAACTTCAGCCTACAGTAAAACAGTTTGACATGTGATCTTTTAAGGGACATATAGTTAACATGTAACAGCACAGTACACACGGAAACTGGTTCTTGTGTAAAAATAGGTGTGTGGACACAAATATAGCAGCCACTGTACAAGTAGAAATTCTAGTAATGAAACATAAAATACCTTGGTGCATGGTTGATTAGAGGCTGTGGTTTGTATTTGGGAAAGTTGTAGTTCCTAAATTCGTCATTGGAAGAAATGCCTGGCCATGTTTCTTGAGAAGGAGTTCCTGTGTTTAAATCAAAAGAAATTAAATCTATACAAGTTATATTAATTATAGGCAAGACTTAGAAATAAATTTTAAGCATTGGGGCCCTGTAACATGCCACAATGGAAAAGGAAGGAATGTTTTACAACTTCAGTCATTTTGTTTAAAATGTACAGACTCAAACTTGTACAAAATGAGTAACATTGTATTTATTCATCTTCATCTAAATGCAACTTCAAAATTCATTCCCTCTTTATAGAAGAAGGATCTGCTCTGTACCTTATAGTTACAAATTATTTTTCAGAAACCCTCTCTTAGAATGGTGAAGTAAATCTATAAGTGTAATATTATTGGTAACAATACTCAATTTACCCAAAAGTCTGAAAATTAAGTGCAGTTCATCTTCAACAGTTGAACCAGGAAAGAGAGGTCTTCCAGATGCCATTTCGAAAAATATGCATCCAACACCCCTTTATAAAGGCAAAGAAAAGGAAAGATGAATAAGTAAGTAAAAAATAAACAAAAAACTTACCCTTTAAAACATTCAGCTGCTCAATATCTTTGTGATTTATCAGGTTAAAAAAATTGCTATATCAATTTGCCATTAACTATGTACCTCTATTGGAAATACTGATGTAAATGAAGAAAAAAAAAAAAAACAGCCAAAGAGTTCACAAGTGCTGAACAAAACCTCTGCAGTACATAGATAATATCTTTTCCTTCCTAAACACACACACGCACAAAGCAAAGGGAACAACTGATAAACTAGACATATAAAATAAATATTTAATCAATATAATATAATAATGCCATCATGTCAAACTGGATTTAAATATTGAATAGCACAATTGATGCATTGTTAGCAACTTTCTTTATCAGCAATTTTATTTATCATATCTTAAACGTAACCCTATAGAAGTTGTCTGAAATTTTGAGGGAGCTGTTATACTCAGTTACAAGAATTAATGGACAATTATAACACATCAACTTGAGTATGAACAAAAATTAAAATCTGACCAAAACAAACATACCACATGTCAATTTGAGTTGAATATTCGGAAGATCCAAGGAGAACATCAGGTGGCCTGTACCATAATGTGACAACTTCATTGGAGTAGGTCTTTGTAGGAACAGACTTCGCTCTAGCCAAACCTTCATAAAAATAAAAATATAATGTGTTTTTTCTGGAATGGTATCTACCATTTCCCTCAGTTAAAATATTGTGTACATCTATTTGCTTTTGTTTGTGCTTCTGCTTTCTTGGCTTCCTCATTTTTAGTCTGAAGCCGGGCTAAATGGTGCAAAGCAGTGACCTTATTGCAAGCATCTTAAAAATGAATGAAATCATACTGACCATTCACGACACCATAAGTTCGTTCTTATCCAAAAGGAATACCATTTTTTCAGAGTGAAAGTTTTGTGTTGTTGTGAAATATGCATTACTGTATACTTGAGAATAACTTGCTTATCACGTGGGCAATGCAAGATTTACAATGGTCTTAATTATTCATTTCCTTACTTTTAAGTGCTTCTGTTTTGTAAGTGATGTGATAGATCCGGATATTATTACTCAGCAACCAAACATTTTTTTAAAAGTGTTTCACTTTTGAAATAAATGTAAAATATTGTTATAATTAGGCTGGGCAAAATTTCATTTTAATTTTTTGTTATCATTTTGATGGACAATATTGATGTTTATTTTTATGCTTTTTTATTTTTGTTTTTATGGATTTAACTTTTCACTGTTGCAGGAAATGAAGGGACTCACCCATTGGAGGGGTTAGACAATTATTTAATGACACCAGACACTGAGATTCAAAAAGTTAAAGCTTTATAACTGTTAAAAAACACAAACTGTCAATATCATATAACAAAAAATACAAAGTAAATATCCTTAAATCAAACCCTAATAACTTTTCAAGCAGCATTTTTCTTGCTTTTATACATTTCAATTATCATCAATGTAAATATATTTTTGTCTGTTTGGGGATATAAATCAACTGAGAGCAATCTAGCCCTTGAGAATGACTGACACCCCAATCTGGCAGAACCACATCAAATCAGCATGTAAATTAAGAATTTTAAAATGGCTGGCTGTCCCAAAGCATTTCTCCCTGGGTAATGGCTCAGTTAAGGACCTCAACCAGGGAGAAATCACAGATCTACAGTATCACTCCAAAGGCTGCCCCCTTCCCTTCTTATAGTGATGGGGTGGTGAGGGGGAGTCATCCTCAAAAAAAATAAAGTCAGATTAAAATTTTAGGCTATCACAGCTATCAGAAACTCCTGTAGAATAAGGGCATAGGGTAGTGGCAGTGTTAAGTACTGAACTGCTTAAGAAATTTTTTAAATAGAATTGAAGAATTATTAAAAGGCAAGTTTAGCATAACGTACTTGATAAATATACTTCTTATCCTCCCAATTTGGATAATTAATTATATATTTATAGGGCTCAATATTTTTCCAATAAAACTGTGATTCACCTTTAAATATATAGGACTGGATCATGCCCACTGTTCTTTCAAGCACTGACGCAGGAAAAAGGAGCAAAACATGCTGAGATCACCCACATTTCATCAGCGGAAGGGCCCACTGAGTCAATGTGACATCATCTTGCACCTCAGTCTATGGAATCCCCTAAGCTCTATCTCATCTGGAACTCTGTGATATTGGGAGTGAGGGGGGTGGTTGGGCAGTGAAGTGGTGGAGCCACAGGAAAACTGCTCTCTCCCTCCATGTCCAAAGGGACTTCCCAGAGTAATAATGCCAGACCATGTCAGCACTGTCTTAGGCAACATTCTGTTCTCTACTGGCAACTGCTCCCTTCGGGGGCATTTTCGTCCAGGTGTGGGTGAGGAACCAATGGTAACATGGCCACTAGTGGAGCTTTACTGACATGGAGAATAATGGCTAATAGCAATATAATCCATGTGAATGCCCCAATCCACTGTAGATGCTCACCGGACTTCCCAAAGTATCTTAGAACATCCATGAGTTAGAAGGGCCAGGCAATTCACCAGGTGGGGAACGCTCCTCCCCATCATCTTAACAAAATTATTTGTAAGAAAATTCTGCAAGATAAAGTTCACGGAGTTTCTTTGGCCCTGTGGTGATGATTTGGCCTGTAATCACTAGAAATCCTTTCTGTTGGTTCCCACTCATTCAAAAAAAAAGCACCACAGGAATTGATACGCAGGGATATTTCCTGGTGTCCAAGGATGAAATCACAAATGACTAAGAAAATTGACTTAATCAGAAAACCAGAGAAAGGGAACAAAGATAGGGTTGGGGTCCTAACTACCAAGTTGAAAGCTAGTCCTATAAAAGATTAATTACAGTTCAATTAGGCTTTGTCTACACTGGAACTTCATCGGCAAAACTTTTGTCGTTCAGGGGTGTTAAACACCCTCCACCTCCACTGACCGACAAAAGTTTTACTGACTAAAAGTGCTGGTGTAAACAGCACTTTGTCAGCAGGAGCGTTCTCCTGCTGACAAAGCTGCTGCTGCTTGTGGGGGGTGAAAGTTTTTGTCTTTTCCTGCCAACAAAACAAACAGCAGCTACACTGTGCAGCTTTTAGTGGCACGGCTGCAGCAGCACAGCTGTGTTGCTAAAAGCTGCGTGGCATAGACAAAGCCTTATACAGGTCTGCTGTCATGGCCAGAGAAAGTGTGTCGGGGGCAGGGGGATTGAGCTGTAACTGAATATAAAGTATTTTATTCTGAAAACATGGTACAATTCCTGTGGGATAAATAAATAAAACAAACCAATGAGGCGTGAACACATGTGGTGTTGCATATTGGAGAGAAAAAATTATTTAACTTAATTTAAAATATCAAATAAAAGAGTATAATGCAGGTATAAGGGTCCTTCCTAGATAAAAGTGAGTGGTAACAAAACTACTAACAGATGATGCTTAAAACTGGAGTGGCTGGCAGACAGAATATACAAAGAACTATGACACTTATCACCGTATCCCATATATGAGGCACAGAAAGAGCCGTAAGATGAGGCATAGTTCAGGTTGGATGCTGAAACAAATTAAAAAACAAACAAACCAACAACAAACCAGAAACGCTGAAGTCAAACAATCAAACTCTTACCCAAAACAGATTAACAAACAAAAATAATTATCTGGATGACTTTCAAAAAGTCAGACATGAGCTGCAAACCTGAAATTCCAGCAGCTTCAAACCATGTGGGCTGACTTCCCCCACTGAGCTGACCAATACAGGTATCCAGCACACAATGGACTTAAAAATCTATTTTTTCAGGCCAGTTCATGCTACAAGTGACAGCCTAGTATGCACCACATTGGAGGTATCCAGCTGCCATAGAAACCCTCTGGCAGCATGGAGCTGGTCTAATGATCTCAATTAAATAATTTTATCGTTTTCCCTTTATGGGAACACAAGCAATAGCAAAAAAAATGAAGACAGGATCTCATCAGCTATATAAAGCTAGTCAGAGTTACACAATATTGGCTTCAGTAGCCTTTGGAATGAATAAAGGTATACACAGAAATGGTGTGAATGTGTATTTTCAGTGATTAATTTCCCTGATGCTTACAAACGGTTTGGGTACATGAACACTCCTACCCACACATGATTTCTAGGTTCAACAAGGTTTACAAACCTTGGTTTATTTCAAAGATTTTCTTAAAACTGTAACTCAGTAAAGAAAACACTGCTCAAATAAAATAATAAATATTTTTTTTCAGTCCATACCAAAGTCTGCTAGCTTTAGTTCTCCTTTCTCATTAATGAGTAGATTTTGTGGTTTCAGGTCTCGATGTAGCACCTTCCTCCTATGACAATAGGCCAAGCCACGCAGAATCTGGTATAAAAATAGCTAAAAGAAAAACAAATTAGACTTTCAAAAATATTCATGGGCAAATGTGTAAAGCAGCATGTTACTCTTCCCATAACAGCGGGTTTTGGGCCATCAGAGCAGCAATTACATGGCTATATTGCAAGCAAGACAAAAACCTTCTTACACAAGCAAGTCACTTTCCCATGCTAATGTATTCTGAATATCATAACTACTGTTTAAAGATTTAAGACCTATTTATGCCATCCAGCTACATAATTATTATGAAACACTTAGCACATCAAAGATTTTGAGAGTGATTTGCTCTATATAATAGAAGAGAATCAAGTGGCTATTAACTTTATAAGCATTTACTACTGCACTCTAAACGTCTTTCCATGTAACACTCTCAATTACCATACTGATATTCCCTTCTGCTACAGATCTCTCTCTTACAAATGCAACTCTACTCCTGTACTCCACCATGTGAAGTAAATTAATTTATTGTACGGTAGGGAAAGTGACTATCGGAAGAAGCAATTAGGTACAACACCTCTAAACATTAAAGAATCAAAGAAATATAATTGGGGAAATTATGCTCCACCAGTCGTGTCTGATTTTTTCCCTTTGCTGTGTTTGCATTTTCATATAGTCTGTCACCCTCTATGCTTCTTCCTATTCCTTTGGGCTGGCAAGCCAGCAACAGTAGCGCCACATTCAAGGACATTAGTGCACAGAGCAACTACATAGCAAAAAAAAAAAAAAAAAGTCTAGGATTAAGCAGCCTCATCAGTTTCCTGTGGCATTCATAAATAAATACTGCTTTGCAATTACTTCACGTGTAGAGTGCCTGTGTGTGAGCATGGTGCTTCTAGGTAGCTGCTTCTAGCACCAGTTGTCCCACAACAATCCTTAGTCTGGTGAAGGTGCGTGAGCAGACAGAGGATTACTGATTAGGAAATCTAGAGAGTACACTTATGCAGAGCAGGAGGTCAACCGGCATGACAGATTCATCATGCATTAGTCCCTTTGAGGGGAAACACCAGAAAGTTTTTATGTAACAGAATTTTCCAACACGGGTTATTTTTGTAGCAGATGACACCCCCAAGTCTTCCACAAACTCATACAAACAGACAAGCTCCAGGTTATATTTGTCTAACCTCGGTTTGCTTATATCACGATGGGATTATCTCTATTAGGGGTAGAAAAATTGGGACCATGGATGTTAAAAATGCAGGCTGTGGGCCACTAAGTCCTGCCTCACCTATTTATGCCTATATTGTTGGAGGGCTATAAATGGCCATTAAGGCACTCTCAGATAGTTTATAAAGAAGTTATCTTCAAAGTATAAAAACATGCTGCAAGAGCTTTCATTTCATGTTCATTTAAGATTTTTTTAACATGTCCTCTTCATCTTTTTCTATCTCTCTTTAAAGTAGGTATGGGAATTTACAATAAAATAATTTTTCCCCTCACTCTCTCACAAAAAAGACAACAAAGCAGGTTGACGATTGATTTCTCCTCCAAAAGACATTAAAGCTAACTTGGAAACAGAAAGAAACAAAATGACAAACAGTAACCAATATGCAAATCGAAACCCACAGTACTTCAACAAAGAAAGGACTTTACAATATAATGTAATATAATACAATATAATATAATGTAAAGGCAAAAACAAGGACAACAATTCTGCTGGAATGTGCATGAAACACATGTAAACAAATGTTATTCTTGTACATTATGTCATCATCCACTATTAACTATTGTACAAATATCAAACCAATTTTCCCTGCATGTGTGTGCATGCATGGTTTTGTTTTCGTTTTTTAGGACAACCACTTGCTAAGCAACACAGTACACTTCTTGCATCTGAAGAAGTAGTTTTTTTACCCACGAAAGCTTATGCCCAAATAAATCTGTTAGTCTTTAAGGTGCCACCAAACTCCTCATTGTTTTTTTAAGTACACTTAAGTTCAATGTCAACAGGAATAGAAATATTCCCCAAATACCTTCTGTGAACAGTTAACACCCTCTACACAAATTACATATTGTTAAATAATTTAGCTGATTGAAAATAGTGTTCTGGCTTCTTGGGGCCTGGTTTACTAAGCTATTGTGCAAAATAATATGAACAGTTCCTTTGGCCCTCCCAAGCACAAGTGGTTCCTTCCCAAGCCCCTTTAAACACACAGTTCTTTTCTGTTTCACAGTATTGGGTTCAACAGAATAAGGTTCCTTCCCTCCTCCTACTATTACTTGGCTCTTTTCTGAGCTCAACAGAGTACCTCGAGCCCCAATCTGGGCTCCATCCACAGCCTTTCTGATAGCAGTCTTTTGCCCTCTGCAGCCCTCCTTCTAGGAACTGCAGTCCTCCTCCTTTTGGTACAAGGTTCTCCACAGCTTTCCTTCCCAGGGCTTTCCCTGAATCTTGGCCTACCACCATCATGACTCTATTGCTCCCTGAAGATCTCTCCCTTGAATGAGCTACAGGCTTGTTTTTTAATCTTATAGTCCCACCATGTGAATGTCAGTTGGCTCCTCCCATTGCACAGAAGGACTTATCCCCATGTTGGTCATGCAATCATGCCAGAGAAAGTATAAGTCTCAGAATGCCTGATCTACACTACACAGTTAGGTTGATGTAAGCTGCTTTGTGTTGATCTAGCTTTTGATTGTTGATTATTTTGTGGAAGTGAAGAAGCTGGCAAACGTTCTCTGTATGCCGATTTAGTACCACTACCTCCATGAATGACGTAGAATCACGGTCGATGTAATTAGATCAATGCAGTGCCAGTGTAGACACTGTGTTGCTTACATCGACTGGGACTGGCTTTCAGGAGCCATCCCACAATGCCCTACACCGACAATACAATCAATACAAGTGCTCTCAGTGAGAATAGGCACCGCCAAAATAATGAGCTAAGTGTGCACAGACACAAGCGATTTAATAACTGTGGTGACTGTATGCTGGCATAAATTAGGTCAACAAAATTTTGTAGTGTAGACATGGCCTAGGTATTGGAACAGGACATAACTGTCCTTAAAGGGGACACACCGTTCTGTTAAAAATCTTATTTCCCAATAGAAAAATATTAAAAAAAGAACCCAACGTTTACTAAAGCCATGATTTGTGTCATTAAACTCTTCAATAGGGCTGTATCTATTATCAGAAAGAGCAGCTGTGAGCAACTAAGTTGTAAATTCCCTGTGGTTTTAAAATCAGAACAAAAAATGTTTGAAATCAATCATTAAAAAACATTCACTCACCTTTACATTGTGCATACTCATGATGTTACCACAGTCATCCATGTACTGTTTTAGGTCCTTGTCCTGTCAAAAAACCATCACCACTGTTTAATATAAAACAGTTTTTTGACAGAAAATTGAGCTTTTGATTCAATGGACTTTTTCACAAAAAGTATCTGTCTGCTGTGGAGAATTTTGAGTTTTCATTAAATAAAAAAAATCAAAAACCCAAAGAGAGAAAGGAAAGTGAAAGCGTTCCATGAAGAAACTCCCAACATTTTCAGATCAGTTCTACTTATTATACTAAATTTTTTCTCCCCCAAAGACTATATGTTATGTTAAATTTTATTTATTACTCATTCCTTTATTTGGAAAAAAATTAATTTTTCATGAATCCTGTGCACTACACCTTTAGATGCTCCATCACAGCTTGCATAGATATGGTTAGAATAACTTCAGTAAATATATATGTAATATGGAGTGAAAAAAAGCTAAAACAAAACATGATTTATCAATTTGTATCATGCAGGAAAGTGACTTAGCTGTCTAACTGTAGGTACTCAAGTTTGAAAGTGTAAGACATAATATTTAACAGCTCTGTTTCAAAAGGAATGTAAAATAGTTATTTCTATACTATTATTGTTTTACAGCACCTGCAAGTATGCTAGATGCCTCACAGTAGCAATATCATTCAACATAATATTGCAATTATTTTATTCTCTGTCCACTTTCTTCTACAATCCATAATCTTGGTTTAAGTGAGCATTTTGGCCCAGAAGTATAATAATTGAGGTGGCAAAATTTGCAGATAATACAAAACTACTCAAGATAGTTAAGTCCCAGGCAGACTGTGCAGAGCTACAAAAGGATCTCTCAATACTGAGTGAATAGGCAATAAAATGGCAGATGAAATTCAGTGTTGATAAATGCAAAGTAATGCATATTGGAAAACATAATCCCAACAATACATATAAAATGATGGGGTCTAAATTAGCTGATACCACTCAAGAAACAGATCTTGGAGTCATGGCGGATAGTTCTCTGAAAACATCCACTCAGTGTGCAGCGGCAGTCAAAAAAGGAAACAGAAGGTTGGGCATCATTAAGAAAGGGATAGATAATAAGACAGAAAATATCATATTGCCTCTATATAAATCCATGGTATGCCCACATCTTGAATACTGCGTGCCGATATGGTTACCACATCTCAAAAAAGATATATTGGTATTGGAAAAGGTTCAGAAAAGGGCAACAAAAATGATTGAGGTCATGGAACGGCTGCCATATGAGGAGAGAATAATTAGACTGGGACTTTTAGCTTGGAAAAAAGACGACTAAGTGGGGATATGATAGAGGTCTATAAAGTCATGACTGGTGTGAAGAAAGTAAATAAGGAAGTGTTATTTACTCCTTCTCATAACACAAGACCTAGGGCTCACAAAAAAAAATTAATCGGCAGCAGGTTTAAGCCAAACAAAAGGAAGTATTTTTTCCACACAATGCACAGTCAACCTGTGGAACTCCTTGCTAGAGGATGTTGCGAAGGCTAAGACTATAACAGGGTTCAAAAAAGAAGTAGATAAATTCATGGAGGACAGGTCCATCAATGGCTATTAGCCAGGATGGGCAGGGATGGTGTCCCTAGCCTCTGTTTGCCAGAAGCTGGGAATGGGCGACAAAGAATGGATCACTTTATGATCACCTGTTCTGTTCATTCCCTCCGGGGCACCTGGCATTGGACACTGTTGGAAGACAGGATACTGGGCTAAATGGACCTTTGGTCTGACCCAGTATGTCCAGTCTCATGTTCTTAATAATTACCTATAAACCAGACCTATACCAAGCAATTTATGACCATTTGACAGTGAATTTTATGTCTGACAACATAACTAGCTTTCAGGTTATTTGCTTCCATGTTCCACTGGATTATATGTCGGAAAATAGCATGATGACAGAATAATATCAAGTCATTTATTTATTTATTTATTAAAATGCACCACTGAGTTAATCGTGTGTGTGTTTCTCTAGGTAGAAAAATAAACAAGACTTTCTGAACAGATCCATTCAATATAAAGCTTCATTATTGTTTTAATGCTTACCAGGTACTCAAAGACGAGAGTCAAAGATTTGTCTGTGTGAACAATATCATGTAAAGTAACAATATTTGCATGCTTTAGGTCTTTTAATAATGACACTGCAAAAGAGAAAAAAATAAAATTAAAGCTTAAGGATAGGACTTGAGGGGAAAACTAAGGAGTAAATGAATTACTAATTAATCCAAATTTATGAGTTATTTGTTTAATTTCTATGGTAATTTAAATAACTTAGTTTTCAAAATTTAATATTTCATAAAACATTAAGTTAACCCACTCATTCACTTAGGAAAATTTCTGAAAACAACACAAGTTTGTCCAGGGCACACTGTGAAGAAGACAAGACCACGTACTACTGAACTGCAGAGTTATAATTAATTCATATACAATATGGACAGATAGTATTCCACGCACAAGTTAGTCATGTCATGCTATGTACTCTAAACTCCAGAAAGTTGTTTGCTTCTATTGTAATTAACAGTCAATTATAAAAGCCTCAATAATTTCTAACACTTAGAAAGCTCCATTTATTTGAGAACACAATTACAGTCCATGAAATAAATGCATTTGAAATTTGAGTCCCAAAATTGCAACTCAATTAATTTAACTTGATTGCAGTTCCCCATATCATAAATAGTGTTAGTTATTGTAATATCCAGTTTACTTGAGAATAGCATCAATTCTTTGGCCTAACTGTATAATTTCAGTTAACAATATATTTTAAATAAAGAGAAACAACATTTTCCTCACCCTCTCTTATGGCTGTGCATGGTGCCCCCTCTTCATGTTCCAGTCGGATTTCTTTTAGAGCTACCAGGTTCTCTGTCAATTTACTTCTTCCTTTATATACTGTTGCATAAGTACCCTGTGTGGTAAGGGGAAAGGAACACATTTAAAACTTTTCTTTTCTAGAAAGCGCAACACACACACACACAAATAAGATTCATGACAGGTCCTACAAGTTGTTTCATTTTGGTGGCAGCAGCTTCTGGAAATGACTCAATTTATTTTTTCCTCTTTTTTTTGACATGAGCGTAACTCATCACTGAGTTTCAGACACAGGCCCCGATTTTCAGAGGGTCTGAGCACTCTCAACCCTAGATGAAGTCAATGGGAGCTTCAAGTTTAGAACCTTCTGAAAGTCAGGCCCAAAGCTTTTAAGACTACGCCAAGGAAACACAAAAGAAGCTATCAAAAAGAATAAAAATATGCTCACTATACATTTAATTTCACAGGAGAATAGGAATGGGACAGGTAAAACAAACGCAATTTTTCATTTTTGCTGACATAATGGACAGTGAATTATTAATCTTTGGTATTTGCTTCATTAGTCCAATACAAGCTTCAAAACACTCCCCATAAATGTATGTTACATAATTATATGGGGTACTGGAGAAGATATTCCTTTTCAGCAGATTGCTACAATCAGTTTATATTAAATATCAAAAATAAGGGACAGTATCATCTCAGGTAAAGTTACATATCCTGTATTGTTCATTATACTATAGAGTAATTAAAGTGAAATACAGTACATCTATATCTATGCAGATGATCACCCTATATATTTATTAACATTTTCACAAAGATATGGAACATTACATCAGGTTATAGAGCCATCCAATATAAAAAGGAGCTGAATTAAATGATAGGCATTTGGAGAGGGCTGAAACATTGCATCTCAAAAACAGAAGATTCATAACTGCAAAGTCGAGTAACATAGTATACAACATGTGTGTGCTTTTGCATGTGTGTTTGTATAGCAGTCATGAGACTCTAACTGCTAAACAGGTAACACAGGCCTTCACAGAAACTGTTCATACAGGATTTCCTAATGGAGTTTTGCTTTTCCCAAGCTCTATGAAGCCCTGTTTGGCTTGGTGGTGGTGTTTTGTTGTTGTTTCATTTTGGTAACAGTATGCATATATACATATGTATATTGACAAGCTGAGTGACAGTGACATTGCTTTGTGTATTAACATATATGTTTAGTTTGCTGAAAAAGCTCTATCAAATATGTAGATACAACATAGTTCAACTTTAACACCAACGGCAACGTATAATTAAGTTCCAAGAAAGAAAGCATATATTATTGTCAAAATGATCATCACTACTGAAGAAAATTATACAAACCTCTCCAAGCTTTTCCAATTTGATGTAAGTTTCCATTTTTCCAAATCCAATTTCTGACTGTAATGCAAGCAAAAAGATGGTACATTTAGTATAAACATAAAAATTAATCAGGGGCAGTATTTCACTGTATATATCACTTATTCAACAAACTAAAAACGTTTCATAAAATATCCTAAAGTGGTGAAGCAATCTTTACAAAATTGTTAGATTTTAAGAATTATTTTAGCACATCATATTACAAGGACTTGTCTCCAAAGAACCAATCCTGAAGTTCAGCCTGCCTTCCTAACATCACCTCTAATCAGCTAGTAACTTAAATTTAAGAAGGTACAAACTGAACACCCTACCTTCCCTCCCAAACTCTCTTTACTCTCCCCATTTTGTCACTGCTGACAGCATCAGTGGGGCCTGTAACATGGGGGTCATCTTAGACTGCTCTACCACCTCCCTTGCTCAGCACATCCAAATCCTCGTGCTTCTCCCTCAAAAATATTTTTAAGATCAAGTCTTTTCCTGCTATCCCTATAGCTAAAACACTTGTTCAGGCCCCCATCACTTGGTTTGCTTACTGCCATCGTGTCCTCTCTGACCTCCCTGACACCTACCTTGTCCCGCTTCAGTCTGTACAAAACACTTCCAGTAAGATCCTCACATTTCATTCTGGCTGTGTTACCCCGTATCTTTGAATCCCCCCATGTCTAGTTCCCACTTCTTGTCTTTGCCTTCTAGGACCTGCATAATTCTACTTGGCCCTACTTATCGGCATTTGTCTCTTTGCATGTTGGCAGCCCTGACCCTTCCTTTTTGCCAATGATGCTAGTCTTGACGCATTTCCAACAAATGCCCCCCCATGAGTTGGACTGAAAGCCCACTAACTTCTCCTCTTTCAAATCCTTTCTCTACTCATCTACTTGATGCCTACAAGTAACTACAATGAAGTCACTGTAGGGTAATTCCTATTTACAATAAAACCACTTTACACTGCTCTGGCCCGAAAGGGCCAGAATGCAGACATTTAAAATGGGCCCATAGCCTGTGCAGTGTCAAAATTCAGCTCTTCCTGGGGTTTGACTTCATTCATAAACTAATGATCAATAGGGTAGTGTGGTGGGGCAGTGCCCCACCCCCTGAGAAAAAGGGCTGAATCAGGCCTGAGAGGTGGTGCAGACCAGCAGCCAATTAGAGAAGGCCTGGGGAGAGCCAATCAGAGCAGGGAAAGAGGCAGCCAAACAGGGCTGGGCTAGGTCCTATATAAAGGCTGTCTAGCAGAGGAGAAGGTAGTCACTCCCTGACTAGCAAGGTAGAAGGACTGGCTCCTGAGCTAAGGAGCAGCACCTTGGACAGAGCAGTGCTGGGCAGGCTTGGGGAAGCAGAGCAGGACTCTGGCCCAGATACCTGCCAGGCTGCGGCCCTTGCTAAGACGGGTCGAGAAGGTGCATAGGGTCAAAGGGGAAGTGGCCCAGGGAAATAGGCAGGCAAGAGGGGAGAGGAAGGAGGGCAGAAGGAGGCTGCCATTAGAGGATCCCTGAGTTGGGACCCAGAGTAGCGGGTGGGCCTGGGTCCTCCCCTTCCCCTCTTGCACTGTCCCTGGCCATTGAGGAGACAGGCCGAGACAGACTGCGACCTGCCCCTGAGACAAGGGGCTAGACTCTAGGGTTGTGGTTGGCCACTAAGGCAGGAATAAATGGAAGAACTGCAGTTAACAAAACCCCCTAGACCAGAGTGGTGGGCAGTGTCCTGAAGTGGATGCAGAGTGTCCTGCAGAGGACAATGCCGAGCAGGGAGCAACACGGGTCCCAGGACAGCGGAGCGGAAACAACAGGCGAGCTACCATGTGTCAAGGATGCCCCGCAGCAAGCAAGAGCTAATTCCCGGAGCGACCAGTGGGAGGCGTCAGCAGTGGTGAATCTTGATCCCGCCACAGGTAGTAAAGTCCGATCCAAGCCTACTTCCTAGGTTTGGCTGCTTCTTCACTTTCTAATTCAGGGCAGCTCTATGTCTCAGACTCAAGATTCCTCTAACAGGGAAGTGCTGCTCTGAAGTCTCCTTTTTCACTGAGGGACTTTCCCCACAGTTTTGGTATTTGTAGCAGGTGCTGTGAGGTGGAGCTAGCTTCATCCCCTATTTCCCAAACAGACCAGCATGTGCTTTTTGTCCACTCCATCACAAGGCTTCCAGGCTTCCATTATAAACCTTATGTTCATTCCTCTCATAACTCTGTATAAGAAATATAGTTTTCCAGGAAATAAAAAGGAGGAGTAACTTCAGATCACCACTTTCTGTACTGCAGAACAAATGAAGCCCAGTTGCTGGTTTTACGGTCCATGGACAGTTTCTAGCATTTAAAAACACTTTCAAGGGATAATTCACGAAATAATCTGAGTGTTTGGAGGCTACAAGACTAATTCACATAAGGAGTTTGGGTACATTTTGGCAGATTTTAGTTTACTCTATCTTTTTCTCCAATTATTTAATTAAGAATAGAATCTAGAGCAGCCAACAATATAATACAATACAAGTGTATTAATCAGAGGCAGGGATACCTAATCTGCCTCCTTCTCATTTGTATTACAATATTCATGATGCTACAATGCAGATCAGTGTAAGCAGTGTCAGGGATCATGGAATGGTATTTACCTTGTTCTATTATTACATTCCCTATAAAGCATATATGAACTAGTACTCTAACTAGATAGTGTGGATGTTCTAACAGTTGTGGAAACATGTTAACGTAATGTCATTACTTACCCAATTTAATGTATGTTGCATTAAACTCTTTTTTGAAAGTTGTTTTACTTTAGGCTACTGTGTATAAAGATCAAATGCTATACAGCATTCTATCAGAGTAAGACAAATGTTCTCTAGCATTAATTAAAATCTACCACTTGGCTAGAGGAGAGGGTGGGTAATGTAGATATGTCAAGACAGATATTCAACAATGCTTGCCTAGATCGTTTGGCACCAGTTGTGGTATATGTTAGCGGAACAACACTAAAGGTAAAAACTACAGTGAAAAAGTATTTAAACATAGTAAGTTTCCATTTTTCCTTCAGAGGGTGCCTAGGCTATTTACTAATTGTAAATTAGTTTTGCTGTAATACAAGTCTACAAATCAGGACTTATATATGCAGGTTTCAAAATTCTATTTATAACCTCTTATTTTAATAGAAGATGCACTGAAGGTATCAGGACATTATATTATTGCATTCACAGTACTGTATTTGTCAATACACATTAGTATAGTAAATGAACTATTACACAACTATTTTGCAATGATGTCAGTGTTACAATTTGAAAGAGGCACAGTCAGTTCCAAAATTCAACCAATCATATATTTTTTTAAAATTTCTACTAATCCTTGAACATATATGGGCTTTCAAAACAAAGGATGCAACACATGTAAACTGTAATTACTACTCTGCAGGCAACCTTTCACTCACAAGTCCAGAGAACTGGGTTTCGTTTCATTTCAAGAGAGCAGTGCAGACTGACGGAGAGGAAGGACAAAGCAGCTCGTGCATGCCCACAAACCAAAATGCAGATGGCAGGTTTCATTTTAGACTTAGAAGCCCTGACAATATCTTCAAAATACAGAAAAAAAACCTCAACTAAAAAAAGAAATCAGACAAAAAACCCTCCACAATCCACCCCCACAACAACTTGTGACAGATGTACCATCTCAAATGCACATTATATTCATTAGAGGGCACTGTTTTTCTTTCTTTCACTCTAGAATGCAGAGGGCATTCTAGACCAGACTGCTTTAGAGCTAATATATAGTAAGTATGAATTTTAGATGCAGAGAAAAAAATAACACTAAATATTATAATCCAGGCCTCCAAAGTTTACTGCAGTACACTGTTACCTCAGAAAAGAGAAAGTTACCAGGGGACGGTATTGCTCACAGATGTAACAACAGTAACTCCAAAATACTTAAATAGTTAATGATCTACAAAGTATTGAAACAATTATTTATTTAAACTCAGTGCATTATCAGAGCTTTCAATATTTATCAACACTTTGACTCATTTATTCTTTTTGTTTTAATATTGTTGATGTATATAATGTACCACAACAGAGTTTTAGTCCACATATTGAATTTTACTTTTCTGGGAAAAATAGATCACAAAACACTCATGGCTTTGTAATATATATTATTAATTTGGAAAGACTGTGTTAAAAGCTAAAACAAAGGTATTACATAGCTAATTGAATCAACTCAGCAGAGACATTTAGATATTTTCACATTTTATACTTTAATAAAGAAGATATTCTTGCAAGCAAATTAATAAAATCAGCAAATAGAATTTATAAAGCTGTTCAATTTCTTTATTTTTTATGCTTAAAAATGCTCCTGATAATGGCCTGGTTTGCAATGGGATAGAAAGTCTTTCATATCTGGGTCAACAGTCAGAATCCAACCTAGATTGTTATTAGTAATAACAAAAGTTATTACTTTTCAGATGGCTACTTGATGGCCTATGTTAAATTAAGTAATAGTCCATTTCCTAGGAGACAGAACTATAACTCTTAAGTCCAATTCAAATGATAAGACCTATAATAATTATACCACAATTATAAACACATAGCTCTCCCCCCAAAAAGAACACATTTATTTTAAAAAGCAGTTACCTAAATATAATCTTGCATGATTTGAATTGATTTGTTAACTAAACTTGAATCTATTTTTTTAAATAAAACAAAAACCTAGAACACCATGTCAACATAACAGTGGGAAAAGAAGAACATTTTGTTATCATATTTACCGAACTCCAAAAGAACGTACGTGTGTGTGTGTGTATTTGTATAGCAGTCATTAGTACCTAATTATTGAACAGGTAACACAGATCTTCATAGCATCTGTTCATAGAGGACTTCCTAGTGGAGTTTTGCTCTTCCCAAACTATGATTAAAAAATGTGAGTATGTTCTCTCCTTAGGCTGTGCTAACTTAGGGCATGGCTACACTTGCAGATGTAGAGCCCTGTGAGTTAAACCAGCCCTCAGAGAGCGCAGTAGGGAAAGCGCTGCAGTGTGTTAACACTGTCAGCTAGAAGCGCACTGGCGTGGCCACATTTGTGGCACTTGCAGTGGCATTGGGAACGGAGCATTATGGGCAGCTATCCCACAGAACCCCTCTTCCCTTTCTGGCACTATGGCTTGTGGGAAGCGGGCGGGGGGGGCGGGGCATTCTGGGTCCTGTCCTAACACCCCGTGATGCATCACTTCGCAACCCAGCAATCCCTGTGCTTCTGATTTGGTGCCATCTTTCTACGTACTGCACGCTCTGTCTTCCCTTTCGGTCTGCGGGAATGGAGCCCAGAGTGCTAAGGAATATGCTGATGGGTCTCGCCAGCACGTCACGAATGGCAGTCGAGTTACACCTTAAGCTACAAACTGACAGTGAGGAGTCAGACTATGATGTTGACTCGCATAATGCATATGACATGAGATTGCTTGTGGCATTCACGGACATACTCACCACAGTGGAACGCCGCTTTTGGGCTTGGGAAACAAGCACTGAGTGGTGGGATCACACAGTCATGCAAATCTGGGATGACGAAGAGTGGCTGCAGAACTTTCAGATGAGAAAAGCCACTTTCATGGGACTGTGTGATGAGCTCGCCCCCACCCTTTGGCAAAAGGACAGGAGATTGAGAGCTGCCCAGCTGGTGGAGAAGTGGGTGGCTATTGCAATCTGGAAGCTGGCAACTCCAGACAGCTACTGATCGGTCACTAACCAGTTTGGAATGGGAAAATCGACCGTTGGAATCATATTGATGGAAATTTGCAGGGCCATTAATCTCATCTTGCTCAGAAGAACCATGACTCTGGGCAATGTGCGTGACATTGTGGCTGGGTTTGCACAAATGGGTTTCCCTAACTGCGGAGGGGCGATAGATGGGATACATATTCCAATTCTGGTAGCAGCCCACCTAGCCTCTGAGTACGTTCATTGGAAGGGGTATTTCTCTATGGTTCTCCAGGTGCTTCTGGATCACCGTCGGTGTTTCATTGACATTAATGCAAACTGGTCTGGAAAGGTGCATGACGCACACATCTTTCAGAATACTGGCCTGTTCAGGAAGCTGCAAGCTGGGACTTTCTTCCCAGACCAGAAGATCACTGTACGGGAAGTTGAAATGCCCATTGTGATCCTTGGAGACCACGCTTACCCTTTAATGCCATGGCTCATGAAACCCTACACAGGGAGCCTTGACAGCAGCAAGGAGCAGTTCAACAATAGCCTGAGGGTCGGTGCAGAATGACTGTGGAGTGTGCTTTTGGCCGTTTAAAGGGCTGCTGGTGCTGTCTGGATGGGAAGCTGGACCTAGTCAATGACAACATCCCCACGGTTATATCCATATGCTGTACCCGCCATAACATTTGTGAAGAGAAGGGTGAAAGATTCACTCAGGCATGGACCTCGGAGGTTCAACACCTGGAGGCTGAATCTGAACAAACAGAGAGCCGGACTATTAGAGGGGCCCAGTGCAGGGCTGAAAGGATTAGGGGTGCCTTGAGGAAGCAATTTGAGGCTGAAAGCCACCAGTAATGTTTGGTGCCCTGCACGGGAGTGAAGTGCAGTGGTTCCAATGTTAGTAGGAATCGGTTTGCACTATACTGACTTGCAGTGCCTGTTGCTTTCCTAGGTTAAGGTATCTTTTACTTAATGCAATAACAAAGAATGTTTTCAAAGCCAAAAAATCCATTTATTGAAAAGAAACACAACTGCTTGGGAAACAAAGGGCAACAGGGTGCGCTGGGGAACAGTACAATCACAGATTTGTGTATGTCCTGTTATCATACTCAGCCTTCCTGTGTGGAGTGCTGTACAATGAGTGCTGCACTTTTGGCTGGCTAAAATGCATGGTGATGGGGGTTGAGCGCAGTGGGTAAGGGTCGTAGTTTGCAGGGCTGGGTGGTGAATCTACAGGTGCTGGAGGCAGCTGGTGGTGATAAGAACCTGGATGCTGGGGAAAGTGGGTTGGAGGTGACATGGGGGCACAAGGGAAAGTTTTCAGACAAGGGCTGCAGGGGGGACTAGTGGGGGGAGGAAGTGCTCCGCCTGCATTGCTACAAGCGTCTCTATCGAGTTCACTTGGCGCTCCGTAACGCTTAGCAGCCACTCCATGCTTTGGTGCCGGCAAGCCGCGTTCTGCTGGTAGACCCTCCTTTCGCTCTCCTGCCACTCATGCGCTTTTTGATTTTCATTAAGGGACTGCTACTTTACTTCGTGCAGCATGTCCTCTTTGCTTCTACATGGCTGCTTCATAATTCTTTGGAGTCTTTTAGACGTTGATAACAAGGATGGGTGAGACCTCAAGGTTGCATCTGTAAAGCCAAAATGCAACACTTAACAGAGGCAGCATTGTTCACACCAGACACAGCAATGATTCGGCCGTACTTAAAAGTAGAGAAGCACAGTCTACACAATAGCAGAAACTGCCCATCCCAAAAGCGAGCGCACATAACCGACAGGAGCCCCAAAATGGTGATTAAGCATAGGGGTAAGGGGGACTGATTGTTTCACGGCCGTACTGTTCTCTGGGGTTCTATGCCTTGGGGAGAGCCAACAGCTGCAGGGGGCCCCTATACTGAACACTGTCCCCACATTTTCCACAGGAGTTCGCTGTTGAGGGTGACCTGGGAAGCAAGGGAGGGTCTTCTATTACAATGTGGCTTCTGCCCTGGCCCATATGCAGCTTGCCTGTGTGCAGCAATGGTCTCCCCACCCCCCATGGCACAGTGGCGCGCGGACACGGTAGCCTTACTGGGAAAAGGAGCACAGTAGCTCTGCTAAGGAACCTGCGCAAGCAGATTGCCCAGCTTCTGCATGAGACCTTTGAAGAGATCACTGAGGATGAATACTGCGATGTGAAAGCACACATCAACACCCTATTCCACATCTAGGCATGCATGCAACCCTAACCCTCCTCGCCCCAAGTTCCTGCACCAAGCAACTTCCTTCCCAAAATAAAAGCCGCTTACCGGGCACCTCCTCTGGTGTTTGTTCTTTCCCAAGCACTGGCCGCTGCGACTGGCTACCTTCCTCCTGGCTTGAGAACAGCTCCTGGCTCCATGCATCTAGGGATGCCGGGCTGTCCCCCTCCTCCTCAGCACCCTTGCTCCCGCTCTCCTCCTCCTCCCTGCCTTGTTGAACTGGGCTCTGAAGTGTCCATGGTGGTCTTCGGAGTGGAGGCAGGGTCGCCCCCAAGTATTGCATCCAGATCTTTGTAGAAATGGTACGTCACGGGGGCAGCACCTGAGTGGCGGTTTGCCTTGCGGGCTTTGTGGTAGGCATTCCGCAGCTCCTTCACTTTAACCCTGCACTGCAGTGCGCTCCAGTCATGGCCCCTTTCCATCATGTCCCTTGATATCTGTCCAAAGATATTGTAATTCCTACAGTTGGAGCGCAGCTGGGACTGGACAGCTTCCTCCCCGCAAACACTGATGAGGTCCAGCACCTTGCCATTGCTCCATACTGGGGATTGCCTGGCACGTGGAGGCATTCACCTGGAAAGATTGGCTGAGAGCACTCCAGGCCTTGCTGACCAAACAGGAAGGAGATTTTCAAAATTCCCAGAGACTATAAAGGGCGGGTCTGACGATTGGTCACGTGAGGGCAGGGCAGTAGAGCTCGAAGTGATGACCAGAGTGGCTAGAACAGGCATTCTGGAGGCTGATCAGAGCGCATTAATAGACCAGGGCGTCCACGCCGGCGCCACGGCACTCCAGCCTGGGGGGCACATCAAGCGTTATGCTTCTTGTCGAGGTGGATTACCAGAAGCGCTCCAGCCGTGGAGTCCGGGCGCTCTATGTGCCTTGCCAGTGTGGATGTGTCATGAATTAGGGCGCCCAGGGCTGCTTTAATGCGCACTAACTTGCAAATGTAGCCATGCCCTAAGTGGTAAAATATGCACCACTGAAGTCAGTGGGAATTTTACCACTGACTTCAGTGAATGCTGGCTCTGGCCCTTAGTGAGGAATGATGGTGAGAGAAGTCTGCAAAACGGAAATAAAGAAAACTGGAAGAGAAAAAATTAGAGTTTCATCCTGTAAGTTACTGAGCTTTCCCATGAATTTTAATACGGAGTAAAGGGTGGTCGGCATCTCTTGGCTGCACTCAGCACCTTGTAGTCTCAAATAGAGTTAAACAATATATAACATGAAAATACGTGAAAAAATAGAGATATGAATGGAACTGACAATTTTCAAATAGAACAGGTTTGTTTGGGAAGCAGAGATAACAGAAACTTACTAGTGATGCTCTACGAGAACGTCGACTCATCGGTTGATCAAATGGTGGACTGTTTATCTGCAGCTTTTCTAGATATCCATCAGGTATCCTGATGTCTGCAGGCAGTGACAAGCGCTTGTTCAGATCCTGAAGAAATAAGTAAATATTGTCAAAAGGACACAGGTCAATTCAGGGCTCAAAATTAGGTTTTGTTAAAACAAGTCTTTACAAAGATTATCAATTGAAGTATTTCTACAATTAAAAAAAGAATCAAGGGAAACAGTTTACTAATTTAAAGAAATTACATTCTCCCATCATATTTATAACCCAAACACTTCAGCAAGTGGCTGAGAAAGGAGATCCAGAAAATTCAGAAACTGATCCAGAAACTGACTTAATTTACTGTCATAGAAAAAGCTGAATGAAATGTAAGTAGTAAACAAATACAAATGGTTAGAAGTAATTTAGATTTTTAAAAGATTTTCAGTTTCAATAATTTATGATGTAGAAAATAGGTAGACCCAAGACTAGTAAGGAAATCTCTTTTCATAAAAACAATGAAACCAAAAGTGTCCCTTATATAGACTGAAGAGAACTCATACTTCAGAGCTTGCTCTTCTGTTTTTATTCTGTTAAATATTAAAGTAACTTAGAAATTGGTTTTCAATCTCATCTGTTCCACTTCTACCTTGCCAGTGTGGCAAACAGAACCACTTCAGCAAAATGGCCACCTCCCTCATTTGAATCATGTGACAATTACAATTTAAAGTATCAAAAATATATTTACCAGTTTACTGTGTTAAGCGCTCCTTACTTTGTGAACTTTTAGAAAGCTGAACTGAATAAAATGGGTTTTCCTTTTAATCATATTTTTTATGAAATTTTGCTCAATAGATCTTAAAATATCTATTACCAGCCAATGCTAGTATGGGTCAAAACTCTTTTATATCGAGCAAAATTTGAAACAGAAATTCATGATATTTCTGAGATATAGATTTTCACAGGTGTTTTCAGTTTGGTTTTGATCTTAAATATATCAGAAAATGAGACATCAAATATTCTTTTTAGGTGCTTAATTGCCACGACAGAGATGTATTTGAAGGAGATACTGAGATGCACAACGAGGGCAGATGAGTATCTCCTAAAATAAAGTCATTGTTGTCAAAAAAGTAGGTTTACCCAGGGTAAACAACTCCATGTTCAGTATCTAGCTGCACATTTACCTATATACACCCAGCTGAGGAGCCAGTGCTCTGGGCTGTGCAGAGAAAAAACCTTGAATGCTTTTAACTTGGTACCTCAGAGACTCCCTCCCTCATCATGTGTTTCCACAGCAGTGGAGATAAGATGAGGCACTAAAGCTAACAGCCTCCATGTTTAAACAAGAATGAGACAGCAGGATGTTTTTAGTGAAGAATTCTTGACTCGGGAATTTGCTCCTCCCCTTGGTTCAACAAAGGGAAGTTCTGTTGACCAACAGGACATGCTGCAAAGCCTACCTATATGCTCACATTGCCTAACAGCTGAAGTTTTCATGGACTAGTTGGCTTGGGAAGCATTTAATGTTTATACAATATTTGCATTACGTACCTAGAATAAATATATAAGAAAGCTGCATGAAATTCGGCAGTTCATGGCATTTCCACAATGGATGCGTGAGACTGACTCACATTTGTGCATGTGCTACATATTATGGCCAATGGATTTGCACATTTTTGGTGAGATGCCACTGAGGCCTGAATTTCTGGCACTTGGCTCACATCCAGGAGGCCTCTTTCTTTTTCACTCCCCATATAATGCTATGTGCTTTATCTAGACTTTTGTAGCGAGTGAGGATTTTGCCCAACAGCCACTTCATGACACAGTTTGAAAACTCAAAATAAATGTGTTTGATATTTTGAACAGAAGCATGAAATTAGGCACACAGTTTGTAATAAAGGAAGTGTTGTTGAGCATCTGAATAAGGGAGATGACTGAAATGTCCACCAGCATTTCAAGCTCCAGTTCTACAAAATAGCAAGATGGTGGCTTCGCAGTTCTTTAATAATTTTCAGCTTTGATATTCAATAATCTTAATCATTGGCAATTTAAACACTGTCGTTTTTTTGGGAGGACTAGACCAATGGTTCTCAACCTTTCCAGACTACTGTACCCCTTTCAAGAGGGTGGTTTGTCTTGTATACCCCCAAATTTCATCTAATTTAAAAACTACTTTCTTACAAAATCAGACTTAAAAATACAATACGCTATTACTGAAAAATGGCTGACTCTCATTTTTAGCACATAATTATAAAATAAATCATAAATATTGTACTTACATTTCAGTGTGTATTATATAGAACACTATAAACAAGTCACTGTCTGTATGAAATTCTGGTTTGTACTGTCTTCGCAAGTGCTTTTTATGTAGCCTGTTGTAAAACTAAGTAAATATCTACATGAGTTGATGTACCCCCAGAAGACTTCTGTGTACTCCTGGTTGAGAACCACTGGATTAGACCAAGAGATCCAGGATCCAGCACATGGGCCAAGCATTTCATTCTCCCTTCCCTGTCTTCTCCAGGAGCATAACACAGGCAAATATTCCCCAGCTTCAAGGATAGAAGGGAGAAGAGAGCTCAGCTGTGTTCCCCAACCACCTCCTGGACCCAGCACATAGAATTAATGGTCCACCATTTCCTGCTCTGGGAAACAGCCTCCTCCTGCTGCCAGCTAACATAATCCACTAGTTTAAGTGGTAGATGTCATAGAATCATAGAATATCAGGGTTGGAACGGACCTCAGGAGGTCATCTAGTCCAACCCCCTCCTCAAAGCAGGACCAATCCCCAACTAAATCATCCCAGCCAGGGCTTTGTCAAGCCTGACCTTAAAAATATCTAAGGAAGAAGATTCCACCACCTCCCTAGGTAACCCATTCCAGTATTTCACCACCCTCCTAGTGAAAAAGTTTTTCCTAATATCCAACCTAAACTTCCCCCACTGCAACTTGAGACCATTACTCCTTGTTCTGTCATCAGCTACCACTGAGAACAGTCTAGATCCATCCTTTTTGGAACCCCCTTTCAGGTAGTTGAAAGCAGCTATCAAATCCCCCTCATTCTTCTCTTCCGCAGACTAAACAATCCCAGTTCCCTCAGCCTCTCCTCATAAATCATGTGTGCCAGTCCCCTAATCATTTTTGTTGCCCTCCGCTGGACTCTTTCCAATTTTTCCACATCCTTCTTGTAGTGTGGGGCCCAAAACTGGACACAGTATTCCAGATGAGGCCTCACCAATGTCGAATAGAGGGGAATGATCACGTCCCTCGATCTGCTGGCAATGCCCCTACATATACATCCCAAAATGCCATTGGCCTTCTTGGCAACAAGGGCACACTGTTGTTGACTCATATCCAGCTTCTCGTCCACTGTACTCCCTAGGTCCTTTTCTGCAGAACTGCTGCTGAGCCATTTGGTCCCTAGTCTGAAGCGGTGCATGGGATTCTTCCGTCCTAAGTGCAGGACTCTGCACTTGTCCTTGTTGAACTTCATCAGATTTCTTTTGGCCCAATCCTCTAATTTGTCTAGGGCCCTTTGTATCCTATCCCTACCCTCCAGCGTATCTACCTCTCCTCCCAGTTTAGCGTCATCTGCAAATTGTCCATGCTGTATGTGCAGAGATCAATCCATGCTGATGATGCATAACATTACAATTTAAATATATTTCTTTACAGCTTTTTGTATATAATTACACTTAGAAAAAATAAGCTTTACATGACGTGTAGATCAGCCCATGTAATGAACTACTCTGGTGAATCATTAAATTAAATATTACGACTAGGTTTTAAAATGCTGGATAATTTTATTACTAATCTACATTTGTATTGGTATAAGCTGAAATCTTGAAAATGATAATAAAATCTCCTGTTAGTTTCTGGTGATAAGGGTCAATAAAGTTTTTCTGTTTTTCTATATAGCACTGTACAGATGGGTTGGTGTATAACTTGGGGTGAAAGGTGAGGCATTCAGCTTCACATAATGCCTTCTTGGCACTGGATTCTAAACAAGCCAAGATTTACCCATGATTTTACCTAGAGAAGCAGAATATTTTCATGAATTTAATTTTCCCATGCTTTCAAAATGTCATTTTCCACAAGCATTATATTCAGTGAATTTAGGTTTTTCAGAAAGTCAGGTAATCATTCCATAGATAGTATCTCATACTAGTGAACAGAGGCAGGTTGTCAGATTATTTTGAATTATCAGACTTTATGAAAGTAAGGCTGAGTATTACTGTAGTCAGTGTTCTTTTACGATTGGTTCCCTTTTATGATTGTTGCTGGTTGGACACCAAATATCTTAATAAACTGTAGACCAGGGCATCTCAAGTGGTGGGCCACAACTCAGCAGCTCATGCTGGGAAGGCATTCTCAGCTAGTTACATTCTACCAGTTGAGAGGGGAAGAAAAGCAGAAATATTGCTGCAGTCCTTAAATCCAAGCAGGAGTTTATGCCGGGGAGGGAAGCTCTCTCATGCCCGCTATTGCTGCTCTACTGCCACCTGACACAGAGAAGTTTTCACCCTCTCTCTACCCCTCCTCCTCTTCCTACAGAGCACTCTTCTTCAGAGCACAGAAACTGGTGCTTCACAGCTAGTTATGCAGCTTTGAAGCAGCATTGCCAAATCCACAGAGCTAAGAATTGTGTGGGAAAGGGGGAGCAGACATCCCACCATATAGCCCACCTCCAGTATCTCTCACAATACCTCCCAATCCCCAGAAATTGTCCCATCAGCATTCACATGTAGAGCTGGGTGAATAATTAATGTTTTAGTTCACTGGCAGTTCCAACCCCCTCCCCAATTCAGTTCTGTTCAAACCAAATCTGAAATTTTTCAGAATTTTTGGTAAATCAATAAAGTGTGCTCATTTCATTTGACCAAAAAATATTTTGTTTTCAGATATTTTTAAAGGGCTTGATTCACAAAACAATGAGATGGTAGTGGTGTCTTTCCTTATAACTTTACTCCTGAAGGAATTCTGCACCAACCCGCCTGCCCCCCGCACACAATATTTGAAAATTCTGCATATTTTATTTGTCAATAAACAAAAGTTGAGGCTCCAGCATAGCAGTGGGGAACACAGGCCACTGGCTGCAGAGGTTGGAG